TTTATTTAATATAAAAAAATTATAAAGATTAATTAAAATTTGAATGATTTTTATTAGAAGTAATTATTAATTTTTATATTAAGATATAAATTTTTTTCACTAATTCATATATTATTATATTTATATTTTGTATTAGATTATATTTTTATATAATTTTTTAAAATTAAATTATTTTAAAATTTTATTTACAAATTATAAATTATTTTTTATATTTTAATAAAAAATTTTATAAAATTTTTAAAAATAAAAATTAAATGTAAAATTAAAATTAATAAAATTTTATAAAGAATATTTTTTACTAAATATAAAAATATAAAAAATAATTTTATAGATAATATTTTAAAATATAAGCTATCTTATAACTTAATTATAATTAAATCATTACACTTGAAAAGCAAAATTGAATGATTAAAGAAAGATGTGACTATAAAGAGATTTTTTTAATTATAATTAATTAATATCTGAAAAACTCAAAAAAAGATGACTATAAAAAAATATTAAAAAATCACATGAATCTATAGCTTATAATTAATAAACTGATTAAAATCTGGTTTGAAATCATTTAGTAATAGAAAAATATTACTAGATAATTGAGTAATAATAATCTTGTTAACAGTATATTTAATATTATTATCTATTATAATCAAAATTATAATGAATTGCAATAAAATACATAAACTATTAGCCAGTTCAAGAATTAGCTATTATTTCACTATAGCAAGAAATGCAAATAATTCCATATTTTGTAAAATACTTTCAGATAAAATTCTCATTATTGTTACAAGACTTTGAATAACTGAATCATGTATTACAAAAGAAATTAGCTTCTTTGATGAACGCATAACAGTCAAATTATTATATGTAAAATTTTATAATTTTTGCGAGACAAAAATCTTTAGATTTTGTATATATTCTAGAAAATTCGTGAAATTTGTAACGAAAAACGCGTTACGCGCGCATACTAAGGTTCATACTAGTTAAAATGATTATAAAAATATAAATAAGCAATCACGAAAACTCATAAATTTAGTCTCTACCTTTTGACCGATTTGGAACGAATGTTGCGACTTACCCTAATCAGCTTTTTCTTTTTGTTCATCTTGTTCCTCTCGAGTCTCATTAGTATCAGCAGTCTTGCTAGAAGCATACCCAATAAATGCACCTGAAAATGCAGAAAACGCAGTCGTTGCAAGCCCAGTTCCAGCGGCACCGATGGATTGTAATATAGCACACAAACTACCAGACGTTACCGCTCCTCCGTATGAGGACATTAAAGCAGCACCCGCAGAGCCAGCTGTAATTCCTTCAGCGGTGAATCCGAGCGTATTTACCACAAGGACAACTACAGGCGGTCCTAATAAAGCACCCGCACCTGCTGTTACTATTGCGGTTGTCATGACTGGGTGTTTAATAGCTTGATCCTTTACTGATGTTGTGATCGGTTCTGCGTGTGTGTTGCATAGAAAGAAAAATATTAGAATGAATTTATGCACGAGTTCCTAATTTTTTTATATCCAAATTTACCTGCTACTTCTACTACTTTGTATCCAAGGTTCCTGGCCTGTTCTGTTTTAATTAGTATTGCATAAGAGAAAAAATTTGTAAACTTTTATTATACTAAAACGAGCTCATAACTGTAAAAATAATTTTTTTAGTTATCGAGTTTTCCATATTTACCGATTCCATTTATCGCAGCTGGTCCTGTTAAAAATATTTACTTAAAATGAATTTATGCACAAGCGAGCTCGAATTTTTTTTATATCCAAATTACCTGCTACTTCTGTTACTTTGTATCCAAGGTTCCTGGCCTGTTCTGTTTTAATTTGTATTGCGTAAAGAGAAAAAACTTTTATTATACTAAAACGAGCTCATAACTGTAAAAATACTTTTTTAGTTATCGAGTTTTCTATATTTACCGATTCCATTTATTGCAGCCGGTCCTGTTAAAAATATTTACTTAGAATGAATTTATGCACAAGCGAGCTCGTATTTTTTTTATATACAAATTTACCTGCTACTTCTGTTACTTTGTATCCAAGGTTCCTGGCCTGTTCTGTTTTAATTTGTATTGCATAAAGAGAAAAACTTTTATTATACTAAAACGAGCTCATAACTGTAAAAATAATTTTTTAGTTATCGAGTTTTCCATATTTACCGATTCCATTTATTGCAGTCGGTCCTGTTAAAAATATTTACTTAGAATGAATTTATGCACAAGCGAGCTCGTATTTTTTTTATCCGAATTTACCTGCTACTTCTGCTACTTTGTATCCAAAGTTCCTGGCCTGTTCTGTTTTAATTTGTATTGCATAAAGAGAAAAACTTTTATTATACTAAAACGAGCTCATAACTGTAAAAATAATTTTTTAGTTATCGAGTTTTCCATATTTACCGATTCCATTTATTGCAGTCGGTCCTGTTAAAAATATTTACTTAGAATGAATTTATGCACAAGCGAGCTCGTATTTTTTTTATCCGAATTTACCTGCTACTTCTGCTACTTTGTATCCAAAGTTCCTGGCCTGTTCTGTTTTAATTTGTATTGCATAAAGAGAAAAACTTTTATTATACTAAAACGAGCTCATAACTGTAAAAATAATTTTTTAGTTATCGAGTTTTCCATATTTACCGATTCCATTTATTGCAGTCGGTCCTGTTAAAAATATTTACTTAGAATGAATTTATGCGCAAGCGAGCCCGTATTTTTTTTATCCGAATTTACCTGCTACTTCTGCTACTTTGTATCCAAGGTTCCTGGCCTGTTCTGTTTTAATTTGTATTGCATAAAAAGAGATATTTTATTAAAGCGAGCTAGATAATTTTTATAATTATCGAGTTTTCCATATTTACCGATTCCATTTTGCAAGTTATATCTAATCTGTTCTATTTGGGATGTGTGAGAAAAAAATATTATTATTATGCTAAGCGAAACCGCAAAAATAAAAATAAGAATACTATAATATTCTTTTGAAAACTTACCCATATAAACTTTTTTTTCGTCAATTCAATAAATTTTAATACATGTAATTTCCTGCAACTGTAAAATGTCGCTAATTTTATATTTACCTTCTTTGTGTTTTTAAAAACAACTAAAAATTCTCACGTATGAACTCTTCAATCGTGTTACAAGATTTGATTGGCTAAATCTTAAAAATGAAAACCAGCCAAGAATTCTTAATAATTAATGTTCTTACAACCACAAAAGTAGATCATGTGGACAAAATCATTGGATCATTGCGCCACAATGGCTGATCCAAATCACGCGTTTAATGATTCATTCGAAAGCTGAAG